GTAAATCAAGGCGAAGAGTTCAAATTTGAGCTCTATTCGCCTCCAAGCCCTATTGATGGATCAATAGTCAACAGAAATAAACAGTTTATAGGAAAGGTTTCCCAGTATAATTTTGATATCCGCATATTCTAGGATGACTCATCTGTCTAATTCACTTTTTGAAGTACACATAACTCTCGGATTCCAATCCGAAGTTTCCGCATTTATTTATTTTTTATTTTTACCAGTACGAAACCATTTTACATCCGATCACAAATATTTTTATAAATCTGTATTCTTTGGATTCTCATTTTTCAAATGATATGTTTTTGGTCTTTTGTTTCTCATATTTTCATGTTGAAATAATCGGTCTACAAAAATGGACTTCACCTGATAGAATCAGGGTGTAATTCCCTAATTCTGTCAGCCAGCAGAAAAATGTCCCTAATTCTGCGTCTTCTAATAAAATACATAGAAAAAGTTAACTTTGGAGAAAGAAGTATTTTTTAATATTTTTCGAGGGAGATGGAGGGGAGGTGTGTTAGACATTTTTATAGAGCGGATCAAACTCTACTATAATCCAAAGGTTCAACAAAATTGTATCTTCTTTGATTGAGATATGTACCGGGAAAGGAAGATGTCTGAAGGTAGTGGAAAACAAGTTGTCCCTAATTCTGCAATCCAGCAATTTCTTGTCCCTAATTCTGCCATTGAGCCATTTTTTGTCCCTAATTCTGCGGATAGTAGTTTTATGCCTAATATGAAATTTGAGTCATTTTTTGTCAGTAATTCTGAGGATAACTGAGTTTTTTTGTCTTACATGATAATAATCAGCTATTTTTGTGATGATACTTATGTACAAAATTAATGTACATAAACTGTAAGAATTGTTAATATTTTCATTTTTCCTCTCTATATAGTTATTTAAAAGACAGATTGAATGACGTTAATCTATACCATTTAATGATGTGGTATAGTAAAGTTACTTTTGTTTTTGTATGGAAAAGAATATTCAAGCGGTACAAAGGAAAACGCTGACAGCATCTTTTGAGAAAAAATTTATTTGAATCGCTATTGATGTAATAAAAGGTTTCTTTATCGATCTGTCAGCTTGCTAACAATATCTTACTCCTGCATCTATATCTTCTATGCCTCAAGAGATCGTCTTGCAAAACGTTTAATAAAAATGTTCATAAGCTTTTCCAATTTTGTCTTTTGTTTCATTATTGTTTGTTTACTTTTAGTACTGCGAAAAAAAAGTGGAAATCAATAGTTAAAACTTATTTTCAAGAAACTGGTCGAAGATCTATACGAAAAATTGATTTTCCAAAGCTGTTGAACAAATTATTTATAAATTCCTTCACAATTAATTCCGTTTCTGGTGGTTTTCGTCGGTCCGGGATTTGGCCTCACAATATGGAGGCAATGAAGGACAAAGTGTATCATCCTCGTTCATCGCATAATAATTCTATCACCACGTAATGTATAATAACATCGTTTCTTACTTAATTGGATTTGTTTTAGCTCATCAGCAATGGAAACATTATCGTTTTTAAAAAATCAAGTACAAATAGATGATAATGATGGTGTTAATGAAAGTGATAATGATGATCCATCAAATTCAACTGAAGTTCATATAAAGTGAGTCCGTTTAGATAATGTAAATTGTTCTGAGGTAGGAATGCGTATATGCATACCACAGAATTCATTATTAGATACGAATTCTTTTATCAACTCATACACGCCTACATAGGTTTGTTTCCAATACATTACAGGTTTCAGAATATTAATCGTTCTAAAATATATTCTCCTTGTGAAATCTCCTAGTATTCCTTCTGGCATACCTTCTTAAAAAGGAGGGGGGCCGATAAGATGTCAAATCGGCCCATTCCTAACTTTTCAAAGTTTTGTATATCATTTGATGCAGAATTAAAAACTGAGTCGTTTGGTACCAATTTCAAGCTGTTTGGGGTTTGTTCAGAGTTATATGCCCCTCCAAATATCATATAATTTTATCATATGTTATTAGAGCCCGATTTTTGACGGTATTTCGTTAATATCTTAGTAATCCATTATCGTAGCGATCTGCGGTTTGTTTCATTAGAAAGAGCATTAAATTCTGCATCGATTTCTATAAATGAAAAATTTATTAATCGAACTCTTTAGAGTCTTCTAAAGACCAACTTTTTTCAATGGCATCATTTCATATGACTTTTCAAATTGTTTTCAGAGCTATGGAGACTTATTACATGTTGTTGAAGGTGATCTGTCTGTACCAATTGATAGCTCTCGATTAGGGCTATCTGCTGATATAGTTATTATCGTTCAAATTTTCTGGCCATTTTTTTCCGAAAATATATACTATGGTAAATTGACTCATTTTCTTCATATTTTTGATCATGATGTAAAACGTTATTATTTCGTATCAGTTTGAATCTGAATTTCAACTGTCAATTAGTGTTCAATAGCGAGAACTACATCTAACTATACGTTTTATCAAATATATTTGTATTCATCCTTGTTCATATCAATATTCATAAGTCGTTTTGTCTCTATGAATATATAAGATATCGATACATTTTTTCAATTAGAACAAAAAATCGAGAATATTCTTTTTTGATTTGAACATGGTTCATTTCTTGTTTGAAGAATTTGTGAGACGATTCGAACGTTTTCTTTTTCGCTCTGCGCAACAAAATGTGGGAAAGAGACGGAGTGAACAATATATAATCACGTGCACTATTCAGCCGATTTTTTTAACATTTCATTTTTACATTTATCATGCCTCGTAATGCGCGTCTTGTATGTGCTGGTTGTGGGAAATCATCCGAGAATTCTATAAAACATCGAGCAACAAATATTCTGTTACGATTGTTTGTATCGGCTCGATCTTCAAAACATCTTCAGCCACAAGACCATGTATGCAAAAAATGTTATTCAAAATTTGTAATTTGGTTTAAGAAAGGAAAAGGAATCTACGATAAACTTTTAAATGGTGATCTTCCAGTTAATGATAATGATGACAACGAAATTGAGGAGCGGGTCGGATAATAATAATAATGAAATAGAATATAATCTATAGGTATATATATATATCTGTATAGGTGATCACCAATACTGTAACTTCAGATCGAGCAACACAGACGGATGATGATCAACCATCAGTTGTCATTCCCATACATCGAACTTCCAAATCACATGGGTGATTTGATATTATTTCGCTTAATTTTTATATTTTTTTATATTCAATAAATAGAACATGTGTTGTATGTCAACAAGACCTCACATCTCCAATTCATGTGCTTTCTCAGCAGCAAAGAAAACTTTTTTTTTTAAACGTGGTATTTTTGTTCCGGCAGGTGCACGATGCTGTCGTCTACATTTGTATAATAAACAGCTAACATACGAGTCCATTCAACAAATATCTGCTTCTCAATTTGATAAACTTTCATTAGGTACAGAAGATGTTCAAAATATAATACTCGACTTTCGTTCAGTGTTGTTAAACGTCAAAACATTCGACTTTGATGACCCCACCAGTTTATCAGATGAGTCTTATTTCAATTTTACCGGTCTTCGTAAAGGTATTTTATTTTTTTATAAATAAAAAAAACTAATAAATTCTGATTAAGAACAATTTGAGAACCTTTTGGGCTACATTCACAGTATGCGAAAATCTCATGTTCGATCTGTTCGTACTGCACTGGCCGTTTTTCTTGTCAAAATGCGATTGGGTGTTAGTAATCGTGTGCTTGCTAGCTTATTTAATTTGAAAAACAAACGAACTGTCTCCAAGCTTATTCATTCGGTGCGCTTGGCACTGATGAAAGATTTTACTCCTCATCATCTCGGGCTGCAGCACATTGATCGGCAAGCTGTTCTCGATCACCATCAAACAGCTGTTGCTACGGAATTGTTTACCACTAATCCTAACCAGCTTTGCATTTTAATGGACGGAACTTATCTTTATATTCAAAAATCGAGCAATAATGAAATGCAAAGACGAACATATAGTTTTCATAAACACCGACATTTAATAAAACCTATGATAATTACTACGACTGTGAGCTTTTTCATTTTTTTAATTTGTAAAAGAAAGCTATTTCTCCTAGACTGGGTACAATCTAGCTGTTATTGGGCCATTTCTTGCTGATGGCAAGAACAATGATGCCTCCATTGCTAAACACATACTTTACAATAATGATCAAGGGATTCTAGAATGGTTACATGATGATGATATTATTATCGTTGACAGAGGATTTCGAGATGCAGTAAAAGCAATTGAGATGTTTGGTTTTCATTCAGCTATGCCTCGTTTTCTAAATGGTAAAAAACAATTTTCCACAGCCGACGCTAACTACAGTCGATGTGTAACAAAAAGTCGTTGGGCTGTTGAAAGTGGTTAGTGTCAGTCTTCAGTTTTTTCTGTTGACAACTTAATGAAAAGTTCTTTTCTGTAGCTAATGGAAAAATCAAACAATTTAAATATTTCAATGAAATAATCCAAAACTCAGCCATTTCATTTGTTAGTGATTATCTTCATATCGTATGTGCTATCATCAATGCATATCTCGTACCTGCCATCAAAGATTCCCATGCAGGCAAAGAGATGGCAACTGAAATGCTCAACCTTCTTGTTTCCGAGAATGCATTGCAAAAACGTCTTACAGAACTTACTAATATTAAATGGAAAAAATACGACGCCAAAATGTGTCTCTTTCCCATTCTGACCATTGACGATATTCGTCGATACTGTTTCGGTATGAAGTAATTTCGATATCTTAGCTCGTAGATAGGAATGTACCAATATTGTAGGTAGTTACCAAATTAAACAAGCCAAAAACTACATTCACGAACACTTGAAACCTTCTCAACTTGATCCTAATGAACTCGAATTTGTTGTTGAATTATGCGAGCAGCATTCTGATCTCATCAGAATACGTTTTTCATCCAGGCATTCAACCCAAAAGAATTATTTAGCTACCGTGCAGTTTGCCAACTACCAGGACGAATCCATTCAAGGGTGGTATTGCACGTGTCCTACAGGTGCACGGGTTGTTGGCTGCTGTGCTCATACAGCAGCACTTCTTTGGTACCTCGGCGTGTGTCGAGCAGAGTACGATGACAAAGGACATCCTCTTTCAGCACAGTATCTTCTCGAAACTGTCGACGATTGTATACAGTATGCCGAGACAATCGAAACAGATGATGAAGAAGAAGGTGAAGTAAAATACCATTTGGCTAGTGATCATAGTGACAGTAATTCGGACAGTTCAGATGATTAGCTTTGTAGTGTTTTAAAGACTTTTCTTTTTTTATTATATTAACTCATTCATATATATTCAAGCTTCGTATACATATTAAATGAAATATTCTTTTAACTTCTAATATTCAAACAAGAAATGAACCATGTTCAAATCAAAAAAGAATATTCTCGATTTTTTGTTCTAATTGAAAAAATGTATCGATATCTTATATATTCATAGAGACAAAACGAC